AGAGAGAGAGAGGGGGAGTGAAGCCGATCTACAAGAGGAATATGGTAAGCCAAAAGGATATTATGCTCTCGCAGCTTCTTACCAAAAAATTATGCTCTAGTATGCTATTCATTTATACCCTTGGGTAAAATCCCATCTAGGGTTAATTTTAGGACCTCATATTTTTGGTATGTAACCTCTACAACCATAAATTGACCTTTGTATAAAATCTCCTAATTGCCCTCTTTATGTACTTGAAAAAAAAATGATATCTCAAGATTGAATAGAGACCATCTAATTTCTAAATGAGACCAAAGGGTTAGAAAACTCAAAATTCATTTTTCTTTAAAGAATAATCATCTAATGGTTGTTAGGTTGTACCCAAATTTTATATTGTAAAAACCCCCCCGAGTAGGTCTTCAGACGAAGGGAATAGATAAACAGAATGCTCTTGTGGGACTGTAGTATCCGTACCCATTTTTCTTCATATCATTAGAGAAAGCGAGAGGCGCTCTAACTAAAAAAGGCCACATTTCACTTTCGATTAAACAATTAAAGCACCTACAAAACCTTTAAATGAGACTAATATACGAGACCATTTACCTTTTATACAAGCTGGTCACAATTTCTTACAATCATCTAATCTGAAATTTGATAACTTGGATATATCACAGAATTCGAAATTTTTTTTTTTTTGAAGTTTGAGCTTGGTCAATGGAATAATTGCAGCCACCCAAAATTTCATATCCAATGGTCAAGATTAATGTGACCACCTTCTACCAATGGTAAATGGTCTCATTCTATACATTCCCAATGTAAATATATAAGGATTATATATTATGAGACCATTTACAAGGAGGACACTCTTACTTATAACCATCTGATATAAAATCTAATAGCTTAGGTGCGTCGTAAAGTTCAATAATTTTTTTTAAACAAACTTTGAGCTTGGTTAATAGAATAAATGTAGCCACCCAATTTAACATCTAATTGTCAAGATTAATTGTGACCACCTAGTACCAAAGATAAATGGTCTCATTGCATACTTTGAGAATTGCCTGGGACCTTGGCGGTAGTATTGTCGAGCCCTATGGGGAGTTCTCGGACTCTATTCTTACCAAAAGGTAAGGGCCCAAATCTCCACTGATATACCACTATTTTTTGAGAATGGCCTGGGGCCTAGGCGGTAATATTGCCAAGCTTCATGGTGAGGTCTCTGATTTCATTCTCACCAAAGAGTAAGGGGTCAAATCCCCACTGACTTACCAATTTTTGGAATGCTTTGGATAGAGCACTATCCTTCACAAGTTGTTGAGAATGGGTTGGGGATTTGACGGTAGTACCAACGAGCTCTATGATGAAGTCTTTTGATTTCATTCTAACCAAAGAGTAAGGGCCCAAATCGCCACTTATATTTTATTTATTTATTATTATTAAGAAAAAGCTTATGTAAGGTTACAACTATATACTATAGAAAAAAGTTCACCTAAAAAATCCAGTAGAAAAGAGTCTTTCGAAAATCAAAACCTTTTAATTGATCATCTTGACTTTAAGATACATGGATATAAAAAAATATAAAATTTCAAGTAAAAAAATAATGCATCTTATAAGATTTAAAAGTTTTTATAGATCTGCCTGACCTTCACTGTTTTTGGAATTTGAGTTTTCATAATTAGGATTGAACATATATTTTCGAGCTATAATAAGATTTCTGACATATGAACTACATCTTTTGGTAAATTTAGAGGCGTGCATCACTTGTATAGTATATCGTGCACCTCGAAAACGGGCTCCGGTCGTGGTGGTAGGACCCCATACCTTAGTCATCACGTTGTGGTTTCTACTCCAGTTGACACCACCCCACTAACACCTTCAAAAAACTACCCACTAACACCTTAAAAAACTTACGCCTAAACTATTTAAAAAAAGAAAAAAATTAT